TATATATATATATATATATATATATATATATATATATATATGTATGTATATATGCTTCAGTCTCTTTGAGCTACTACATATGACTGTAATTGTTTTTCTTGAAAGCGAAATCAATTACCAGACTTTAACTGAGCAAAGAGAAACGCCAGAGAACAATCTAGAGGTACGAAGAAACATGGTGAGATAGAAACACTGACTTGTTTTGTTGTTGAGAAACCAGGATTTGAACCTGCTTTCTAAACTGCCTTTCTTAAGGTGTGGTAGGGCCAGTTTCACACCGATGAGACACGTGACAGCAACATTGGTGCTTATAATCCTCAAACTAAACCGGCATTTATTCAAATCTGATACCGTACTTGCTAGAGCATTTTAACGTAGACAATTATTATTATTATTTTTCATGTGAAGGATATGCAACTAACACATTATTATTACTACTACTACTATTATTATGGACTAATTCTGAGAAAGGAGTCGCCGTGACGATGGCGGCTAGACGCCAGCCGGCGGATCAGAAGGTCGTGGATTCGCGTCCTGACGGAGCCGAACTTTTTTCAAAAATGTCCTTGACTCCCAGGTCGACCCACCCTTGTGTGGGTACCAGGTACAGTCATAGGAAGTAAAGGCGGCCAGCGTGATGCTGACCACATCCCCCACCAAGTGCTGATTGGTCTATACAAATTTAGGTCAAGCCCTATATTCCCAATACGCGTGGAAAAGGGACCTTTACTTTCCTATTGTGAGAAGGAACGGACTGGAGAACTTGGTTAGAAGCTGGCAAGATTGATGGAAAGAGAGCAAGAGAAAGTCAACAAGATAAATACATGGAATGGCCTGGGCAAATGAATGGGCCAGATAAAAACACTGAACTAATTCGTGATTCTGGTGATCGTGTTAGTTGGCGAAACATGACAGTTTACGCTTACTGGCACGGAACATGACGAGGCTGATGATAACATCCTGCTATACTACTATTTTTTAGACCTTAAGTTTCAGATCATTCTATGAGATTCGAACGTTGTCCCATAGCAGATACTACCACTGGGAAATTAAGTGCCAGTCCTTCGCATATTCTAGGCCATAACATATGAAGTAGTATGAAGGGTAGAGGCAGACCAAGAGAGATCATGCTGGATGGATTGAAACGATTGCATGTAGAGATATCATCAAGAGATCTGTTCCAGGCAACCAGGGATCGTGATCTGTCGAGATGCATGAGCGCCTACGCCAACTGACAGGGCACATGATGATGATGATGTCCACTTCCCTTCTTCGATGCCCCCCCCCCCCCCCCCACTCCCTTCCAGTGCATTTGATCTGTATTGTCATTAGACCTATCCCTGAATATCAATGGAGAGAGACATAAATGTTTACATCATCTGTTAAGTCATGTGTCACATTTCTACTGATATTGCCTGTAGTCTTTATCAAGATACGCTCTCGCTAGGTTTTTTGTGGCGAAGTCATCTGTCTGGCGTTCTGTAAGTTGTGGGTTCGTTTCGCGGCTGCGCCCTTCACTTCACAGAGATATTTGAGGATCGTGGCCAGACATACTCAGCTCGTGCTCTGTACGGCGCTCTTGACAGGCTGCTAGCTGTTCTACGAAAAGAGACCAAGCCGTATGGGACAAAACCCGAAGCTGCGAAGTCGATCCTCTCGATTTTAACCTTCAACTTCTGAACCTGATATTTCTCTAGGTGTAAGTGCATCATGACAACGTTACTGAAACTTCAAAAGGAAATAATTGCTCTAAACGTCCAATGGTCTTGGGACAGAGGCCCTCTGTCAGCATGAACAACATGGATGAAAGCCGAAAGGAAGCCCATGATGGGAAAACAGGTCTGCTGGATGTCAAAACCAAATTAAGAATCGGCTTCCGGAGTGTACGAACCATGTTTGAAACGGCCAAAACCGCCCAAGTAGAAAGAGAAAACAGGGGCGCCCAAAAACAACATGGAGACGAACGATGGAAAGTGACCTGAATGTGGCATCTTTGACATGGAAAACTGCACTGAAGAGTGCACAGGACAGGAAAGCATGGAAAGTCCTCTCTGAAGCCTCATGTGCCACTAGGCATAACGAGAACTGATGATGCTGATGAAGTATATCATGCACACATTACATACTAATTATTCAACCCATCCACACTGTGCTTCAGGCTTCTCCATAGCCGTTGGTGATGCTTTGCTGCTTTAAAAAAAATCGTCACCTACAACCAGCACCGCTTCAGATTATAATTATGACTAGGTTATGTGCGCCATATAAAATGGCTCAGCATTGCACGCCAGTAAGAGCCATGAAAAGGACCACCTGCAGTGTTGATGCGATCAAAGGAGACAGACCCAAATACTGTCCCCACCAGCAGCGAAGTCGTCTACAGGCGAGCCCATGGGCGTCTGGTCGCCGGTGATCTCCATAACTGTTTTGTTGTACCCCAACATAACTGTGCTATACAGCTATACGGTTGCGCGCGGCTTCCCAGATTTGCAGGTGTGTTTCCAGTGTGGGTTCCGGGGTCCTGTTATAGGGAAAACAAGAATAGACCTACTGCCTACCTAAAAGCATGTCATAAGAGTCGACTGATTGGGAGTTTCCTTCAAAGTCGGAGTGCATATACCTGAGAGGCAAGGAACCAGCAATCTGCATACACATGAGTCAGATCTGTAGAACGGATGCACACACCACACTCAGGTTCTGGAACAGGACTGCAGTTCAGAAGTGGATGAACAACCAGAACTTTCCGCCAGAGTTTACAGATGGTGAACGCGAAGAATAAGAAGAAGAAGTAGCTGTGTGGTTCTCATCCTTTAAATATTAATCTTACAGAATGCGGTTCTGGTGTGGGTACATTTTATGTTTATATATATATATATATATATATATATATATATATATATATATATATATATATATATAAAATGCAATTAGAAATAAAAACACGCAATCGGTATGACTGCTTAGGCAGATTGTGCAGCCACTCCAATACTGATTATTGCAAACGATTAGGTCTTTCTTTTAAAAAAAAACTGTCTTGTGCATATTAAATATTTAAAACAAAAATTGAATTTGCGCTTTGTTCTAGATTTTTTGATTGTGTAAAAATAGTATACAGATGAAGATCATTAAATGAATTTGATAGGGGATTTTTAAATAAAATCTGAACTTTAACAAGTGCAGCAAAATACATTCTTATGAAAACAATCTGCATGTAACCGGAACTTAACATATATGTGAATACAGAGTCAGCGTCTGTGGGTTAGTCTTTGTAATTCCGAAATACCCGGTTTGATTCCAGCTGCAGATCGAGTTGTGTTAATTTCAACAGTGGCGTAAAATCCGGATCCTTTGTGAGCATGTAGGTAGGTAGTTGTATCCCATCAGGACATCACACAAGCGATAAACACGCGGTAACACAAAGTGCCACCATGCGGATGAGGTTAACCCGTGGAGAGGTCCCCGAAACTCCTTTCAGTCGTTGGGCCATACCTATACCCCGGTTATATTCAGGACCCCCCGGCAGAAGCCATGGTGGGTCTTCAAACAATAAATTGCATCCCACGAGGGGACGACTGGATGTAATTAATAGTGAGCAGTGGTAAACTACTAGACATACAAAGAAGCCAGTCAACAATTTTTGGTTTGTTTGTACTGATTAAAGCATTTGATCTGTACCCGCTACCGTTTCTGGGGTTTGTTTGTTCTGAATGCAGCATTTGATTTGTATCAGCCAACATTTCTGTTGTTTATCTGTTCTAAATGAAGCATTTGATTTGTATCAGCCAACATTTCTGTTGTTTGTCTGTTCTAAATGAAGCATTTGATTTGTATCAGCCAACATTTCTGTTGTTTATCTGTTCTAAATGAAGCATTTGATTTGTATCAGCCAACATTTCTGTTGTTTATCTGTTCTAAATGAAGCATTTGATTTGTATCAGCCAACATTTCTGTTGTTTGTCTGTTCTAAATGAAGCATTTGATTTGTATCAGCCAACATTTCTGTTGTTTGTCTGTTCTAAATGAAGCATCTGATTTGTATCAGCCAACATTTCTGTTGTTTGTTCTGTTCTAAATAGAGATTTGATTTTAACAAACCAACAATTCTGGTGTTTGCTCTGAATGGAGCATTTCATTTGTACAAATCTAGAACAGCATCTGTATTTCTGGAAACATGACTTACTGCAACACTCAGACGTGACAGCAACATAATGTAACATTATATCCCTGAACAGAATAAGCTAATTATATGACTGTGACATATGTCTATGACTAGGATAACAAAATCCTGGGGAAAAAAACTGAGTCAATAGATGCCCAAAGAGGAGGTGGATGAAAGGCAAATGAATTATTAGAATATATCTCCATATAACAAGAAAGATTCATCTATAGATAACAACCACCTGTGACTGCTAAACAGCATACTCATGACAGAAATACTACTTTAAGATTAACCTACATACAATTAACAACTGTCAAATTAGATGCCTAAGAAAAACCGAGAACATCTGAGACAAAGTTCGAAATGATATCATCAGACAGACTATGGAATCAACACCATGCAGCAAAGTTAGTGAGAAAAAGAAGATTAAATGATTTTTTTATCTAGTAAAAGTGCAGAGAAAACAATTACCAACGCAGGTACTACACCCGAAAAGATCTGATGTGAAAAAAATCAAGAGGTTGCCCTAGGAAAGTATGGGTTGTTGGCATTAAAGAGCTTTTACACTGACACGGAATAACAATAGCTATTCCTGTTCATTTGGCAATGGATCGCAACTGTTCCACCCCACGGCGCTTAACGACAGAAGTAAAAATTGATGATGATAATAAACAGAATGTTACATCTTTATGAATGGAACAGAACATCTTTGTCTGTCGTATGTCATCCCTTTAAATGGAATAACGTATCATCTATCTCCACGTTTAGAAAATTATTGGTCCATAAATAACAAACGTCACCGGTATGGATGGATTGGATCAGTCTGCATCCAGAAAAGATATCTCTATGACTGAAATATGATATCTCCCAAATTAGCCACTTGTTGTTTAATTATAGTATCTGCTCGACTGCTGAACTGAAAAGTGACAGAAAAGCCTTTGGTGGAGTTTGTAGGTATATTTACTTGTGTTGATAACACTTCTCTGGCAGTTTTATGGCCCGTAAAAATCAAACTAATGTCTTTATCCTCTTTGGCTTTCTGTAGTTCCTTAAACTGCGAGTTTAGTTGCGAGTCTCTGTCCATTAAAACTTTCATGTGCCCGTGGAGAATTTCACGTTTTCTCTCTATTTCTGACTCCGAAACATCATAAAGTTCTCTTTCGCGCTCACTTAAAACCTCCCGAATTTGGTCAAAAACAACTCGGATCTGCGTGTTGAGATTTTTCTGAATTTGATCTAGATCTTCCAAGGCGCCTTCTAGAGCGTCCTTTTTCTCAGCCAGGATGGTTTTCTCAGAGCTGATATCCTCCAGTGTCTCTTCAACAATAGGGGTGTATTTTTTCATGGCCTCATCTATATTAACAACAACGTGCCCCTTTGATTCCCTGTGATCGATCACCGTGCAGTCACAGCATACTGGTGCGATACAGGGCTCACAGAAGAAGTTCAGTGGCTGCATCTGGTGTTTGCTGCAGTACTGAACGTCGCTCTTCCCCGTCTGGCTTACAAAGCATAAGAGTTCCATGATAGTGTGGTCGTTAGGCAGGCGTCGCAGCTCGGCTTCTGAGATGAGAACACCTTCCCGGCAAGTTGGACACTGAATCTTGACAGTCATTGGCATTCCCCGGAAAACGCCGGTGAGGGTCTGCCGGAACTCTCCTTCTACACGGTACATCTGATACAGACAGTCCATACAAAACGTATGATGGCAGTGCAGCATCTTGGGAAGTTTGTCAACTTCGTTGTACATTTCTCGACAGATGAGACACTTCAGGAAGGTTTCTTCGAATCTCTCTTCGTCAAAGATCAAGTTCCGTCGCCGCTGTTTATCCCACTCTGACGTCAGGCTGTATGTTCCTTTCGTGTCTTCACTGTCATCTGGAAATACACAAGATATAGGATTACGGTTGTATACAAATAAATAGTAACACGGGGGAGCTAGATGCTCTTCTGTCGACCCGAAGGACTCAGGTACAAATTCACATTGTCGGATAGTTTAAAAAAAGAATTACTTCCAGATTGACCGTCCTAGTGTTAAATGGGTGCCAGATAATGCCCTGAAAAGTAAATGCTGCTGGAGGAAAATGTCACGTGATACCCTCTCCAGTATAATCGTTACCTGCCAGTGCTTACACATGCGAATTGACCACGCCTCGCCACGGCTTGGTTCCAGCCTAAACTATTGGTCTATATCCACATGCTAGATGCGCCAACTGCGTTACATAATATTTTGCTTTTGTTAATAATTGCATACAGCAGTTAGAGTCAAAGGTTAATGTCGAACAGGATCGACTTCATTGCTCAGGTCGTTACTCACTTTGGCTCAGTCTCTCTCCGCCAGTGCCCATGACACTCAAGTTATAAGTAGCCCCACGACTGCTCCTACCGATGAGGCTTGAAGTTTAGACCCCCTTTTATTATAGGCCACGACATAACGAGGTGAGGTGTTTAGTTTCTTTTCTCGTCACTCTGTTTGACTTTATGAAAATAAAGTTCGATGGTTCCGACGAACGGCTAGCCACCACCTGAGAGTGTTGCGAAAAGCACGAACACCGTAGCTCCGATCTCCAGGTGTCTCCGTAAACATTGCTCTAATGAACCCAACGACGCAACTGTGAAACGAACTCACGCCCTTCAGCACACGATACAAACTGTTTGACAACTTCGCACTAGCAAACTAAATCCGCCATCTTTTTTCTGTCTGCCTCTTGATAAATAAGTGTATGATAACTTAGTCTTGTCCATTTCTTGATGTTGTCATTTCAGGTTCTTCTTTGTCCTCCTCTTCTTTTACTTTACACCCCCCCCTTTCTCCTGCATTTGTATCTTGAAGTACAGTCTTTGCAATCGAATCATGTCTCACCACGTTCACGAACCAAGCTAGTTTCCATGTATCTGCCTGTCATTCGGTCTGTACCTCAACTTGCCTGGTGTCTTTTTTTTTTCTTTTATCGCCTACACACACACACACACACACACATGTACACTGGTGAGAATACCATCCTAGCTCGTATCTTTAACATGCCCTCCCACGTACAAATCAACTCGCACGCATAGGGACCTACATTTATGCAAAATGATATAAAACAGATTCCTTACCCCTCGTGTTGTCATTCTTGAACTGCTGCAATTTTTCCTCTACTCGTGTGTTTTCGTCCATGATGGTGTCTTGTGGCTGGGACTCGTTTGTTCCGTCAGGGTCGTTGTCGCCGTTACTGTCGTTATTGTTATCGTCAGTGGTAGTGATGTTGCTGCTGTATGTGGCCGCAGAGTTGGGATTCTCGGCTGAACTAGTAGTAGCACAATCACGTGTGTCTGGTAAAGCAGGCGTCTCGCTGCGCTCGCACCTTCTCGACTCAGCTACAACCGCTCTGCCAGGACTGGCTGGAGCTGCTACTGCTGTACTGCAGATGTCGTCGCTATAATTACTGCTGTTTTCTGGTATATTGTCTGTATTGGTGCATGGGTTAGAATTCGTTGTCACTGTGTTGCCTGTCTGATTCTGATCTAGCTGTAGAAGAAAGACAGAAACATGATGATGAATTTGTTCGTAAAATATTTAAACGTTTTTACACTCTTATCTGAGCCGGACTGTTTTCAAAAATTACCTTGACTCTCAGATCGACCCAGCCTTGAGTGGGTTCCGAGTGCAATCCCGGGAAGTAATGACGGGCTGTGTGATCTGAAAACATCAGCCATCTTGTGGCAATTGCTCTATAAGAATATAGGTCTAGCCCTATATGTCCTATTCGCCTAAAGGCGTGGAAAAGGGACCTTTACTGTACTTACACTTTTATCCTGGGAACCACCGTGGAGTAGCCGCAAGACACTCACCTGCGAATTTTTCAAAAATGACTTTGGCTCTGAGGTCGACCCAGCTTTTAATAGGTATGAGGAAAAATCCTCGAAAGTAAAAGGATGCCAGTGTTATGCTGACCACATCAGCCACCAAGTGCGGATTGGTCTATAAAATATAGATCTAGCCCTTTATGTTTGAAGGCGTAAAAAAGTGTTCTCTTACAGACGTTCCCACACTTTTATCTTACAAAGGTAACTTAAGTTCGTCGGGTGTTTGACAAGTGAGAGGCACTACAGCGTTTGACTATTATAGATAGGTGCTTAACTGCAGTGTTGGTGCGATCAATAAAGACAGACCCAAATACTGTTCCGACCGGAGACAAAGTCGTCTACCGGCGAGCCAATGGGCGACCAGGTCACCACTGAAATAAAATAAAAATTAAAAGCGTCTGATTGTGGCTAACAATAGAATTATAATTGTTGTATGGCTTCACTCGTCAGTTGAATTTATCTGGCCCTATAGATACTGGCTTAAGACTAGAAAACAAGAATAGGCCCACTGCCTCGCCAAAAAGCATGGTGTAAGAGTCGACTAATTGCGTGCTTCCTTCGAAGTCGGAGTGCCTCTGTCTGAGAGGCAAGGAACCAACAATCTGAATACAAGTAAATCAGATCTGTAAAACGGATGAGTACGCAAGACTCAGGTTCTGGAACAAGACTAATGTCCAAAGGTGGACGAACAACCAGAACTTTCCGCCGGAGTTTACAGCCGGTGAACGCGAACAAGAAGAATACTACTACTAACAACTAACGGAAGCTTCATATTCCATGTACATTTTCACTTAAAATACCAAGTACCGTCATCAGGTGGTGCCGTTTCTACGTCACACAGGAATCGAAGTCCATCCTTCCATTATGATACGCGATTGGCAAGCACATTTCACGTTTTGCGCATCAAATTAATCTTTTTGCGCACCAAATTAACCCTTTTGCGCATCAAAATAACCCTTTGGATAAATAAATTAGCCCTCTTGCTAAGCAAATTCACCGTCCGTTTGCAAATAAAATGCATTCGTTTTCGGTTGACGTTTTTCTACAATATATATATATATATATATATATATATATATATATATATATATATATATATATATATATATATATATATACACACACACACATATAAACTTAATGTTTTCGATGAAAGTGAATTTTCATTGCCAGAATGTAATATTAGCTGCATTTCGTTTTCGGTTTAAAATTATACTAATGTTGCACACTATCATTAAAAAAAAAAAAAATTAAAAATGCGAGACTTAGCTTCGAGAGTCCAAAACAGCCAAAGTTAAACTAACAGTCCTAATGTGTTATGGTTCGAGACACCTAGAGGAATGCCTGACACAAGCTAAGGCAAAATACAATAATATACTAACATCAAAGATTAGCAATAAGTTCGTAAACTATATATTACTTTGCTAACACCGCAAAATATACAAAAACTGCCAAAGTTAGCCTAATCTGCAATGGTTTGAGACACCTAGAGGAATGCCTGACACAAGCTAAGGCAAAATACAATAATATACTAACATCAAAGATTAGCAATAAGTTCGTAAACTATATATTACTTTGCTAACACCGCAAAATATACAAAAACTGCCAAAGTTAGCCTAATCTGCAATGGTTTGAGACACCTAGAGGAATGCCTGACACAAGCTAAGGCAAAATACAATAACGAACTTACATCAAAGATGAGCGATAAATTCATAAACTATACATTACTTTGCTAACAGCGTAAAATATACCAAAACTATCAAAGTTAAACTTAAGAGTTGCAATGCTCGGTGGTTAGAGAAACCCACAGGAATGCATGACACAAGCTGAGACAAATGAATACAAAGAATGTTTACTCAGGAGCTCATCTGAAAGCCAGGCTTAAAACGTTCCTACAGTCCGAAAACATTCTTACAGTCCATTCCAGAAGTCCTGCCCAAATTTAAAACTCTGTAAAACGCTAACAGTTTGATGTAAGTTGTTGAAATGTTGCACGCAACCTGTTAATAATCATGTCCTTATAAGATTTCTTTGTTTAAATTTAAACAAACTTCTAGTTTTAATTTTGCCTTATTTGCAGTATATAAAAAAAAAAAAAAAAAAAAAAGGACACTGATTCGTAGCAAACTATTAGCATGCTTACAGTAACCTGAATAAATTTGGTGGAATTTTTTAAAACATCAAACTGTACACTTGTCATATGTGTTTTACTCTCAGATGGTCATCTATAGCAATTTCCTGAGTAGTACAGTCAAATACACCAATGCTGGCTTGCTAGGTCCGTCGCCTGCGGGGCAGGAGAAAATCTCACCTGGTTAGTCTATTCATTGCTGAATGAAAAATCGGCCACACAAAATTTTCATTCAGTAAGGAATAGACTAACCAGGTCATATTTTCTCCTGCCCCGCCACGCCACCGGCCTAGCAAGCCGGCATGGGTGTATTTGACTGCTACTACTCAAGAAATTGAATGATTATAGGAGCCACCCGAGAAGCGCAAGACAAATACAGAAAACCACGACACTGGGCTGCAACCTGGTATCAGTGAGACGTTAAAAGAAGAAGAAGATGAAGAGGGAATAGACTATCAAAATAATTACCACGCATCGCTGCACGTGTGTCCATTTCTGTATATTCTATATTTTCAGGGATATGTAACTTATTAGTCAAACAAAGATCAAGAATTCGCTGATTCAAGAAAACAAAAGCATGTGCTCACTTGTAAATGACAGAATCATAGGGATTGAGAACTCTAAGGCCATATGCAAAGTTTCGTGTGGATCCGTATAGGAGTTTTTGAGATATTTGTTAAAGTGTGACTGCGTAAGTTTTGAAACGTACTGTAGTGATGTTTGCAACAGTGTTGACTTAGAGGAGGGAATGCATCGGTATAGTCTTCTTCAGTCTGAGTTTGTCAGTCAGTCAGTGTGCAATAATAATCTGGTTTAGCTATTCTCAGACCATCGAAGTCTGTAGACCGTCAGCTGCATTTCATATTGCTCAAGTCTTTTCTTTCTCGAAATTCTTAGACAATTAGGTCATGCGCTGATATGCTAGAAATCTTTTTGAACACAGACACACATGAACATATATATATATATATATATATATATATATATACACACACACTGTTTTTGTCCGTATGTGTGTGAGTGTATGTATGTGCTCGCGGTGGTATGTGTGAGTGTGCGTGAAAGAGAGATACAGACAGACAGACGGAGAGACAGACAGACGGAGAGACAGACAGACAGACAGACAGACAGACAGACAGACAGACAGACAGACAGACAGACAGACAGACAGACAGACAGACAGACAGACAGACAGACAGACAGACAGACAGACAGACAGACAGACAGACAGACAGACAGACAGACAGACAGACAGACAGACAGACAGACAGACAGACAGACAGACAGACAGACAGACAGACAGACAGACAGACAGACAGACAGACAGACAGACAGACAGACAAGACTGACTAGACTGACTAGACTGACAAGACTGACAAGACAGACAAGACAGACAAGACAGACAAGACAGACAAGACAGACTAGACAGACAAGACAGACTAGACAGACTAGACAGACAAAACAGACTAGACAGACTAGACAGACCCGACAGACTCGACAGACTAGACAGACTAGACAGACAAGACAGACAAGACAGACAAGACAGACAAGACAGACAAGACAGACAAGACAGACAAGACAGACAAGACAGACAAGACAGACAAGACCGACAAGACAGAGAGATAGAGAGATAGAGAGATAGTAAGAGAGAGTTAGATAGAGAAAGAAAGTTAGATAGATAGAGAGAGAGAGAGTAAGATAAAGAGAGAAAAATAAAGAGAGAGAGTAAAATAAAGAGAGAGAGTAAGATAAAGAGAGAGTTAGATAGAAAGAGAGAGAGAGAGAGAGAGAGAGAGAGAGAGAGAGAGAGAGTAAGAGAGAGTTAGATAGATAGAGAGAGATAGAGAGAGATAGAGAGAGACAGAGATAGAGAGAGAAAGAGAGAGAGAGAGACTTTATTTCCCCGTGGCTAGATCGTCACCTCTCAGCCGCAAGAGTTTGGGTTTAAATCCGGAAAGGGGTGGTATTTTTGTAATAGTTGTTTTTATAGCGACTCTAAAGTGGGTCTCATAAAATATCCTCTGAAGTAAAGCTGATGATATATACTGACCGCATAACCTATACCTAAATGTGTTATTGACCAGTCAGAACTTGTCAGATGTTGTAGTGAACCTACCGCCTTTGCTTCCCACGACATTACTTGGTAGCCATTTTAGGTTGGGCTAACTAGTGAGCCAAGGTCAATTCTAAGGGGATTTTACCTCAAGACCTCCAGGTCGGCAGGTGAACGTCGCGTCGCTAGGCTATTACGACTCCCGCACATACAAATACTCTTTAGAAAGTGCTTGATGACCTTACATAAGGT